GTTGGCATGATCCGTCCAACACAGAGTCCGAATAGAGCCAAACATGCGGCGTGTCGCCCGCTTTACCTCGAGCTGGGCAAACGCCTCCTGTATCAAGGGCGGCCAGTTCTGCTGCGCGGGGGTCAAGCTCTTTGAGTGCGTCATAAGCACTTTGAGCTGACTCAAGTCACGCGTCATCTGCACGACGCTGCCCCCTACCGCGATGCCCGACGCATCCGCGATCTGCTCAAGGGGACACGACCCATCCGCAGCAGAGGCCTCATCGAAGGTAGCCAAATTGATGCGGTTCTGCATCATGCGCTTAATCGCTTTAAAGGCTTTGCAACCCTCGGTGGCGGCTGAGCCCAGCCCGCCTTCAGGGAAGACGGCGCCTGGCTTCTGCCACTGCCCGAAAATCTTGGCTGCGTGCCCATACTCAACAGGCAGGTGCCGCGCAACCAATTTGCGCAACCCAAAAATTGCTGAATGTGAAGCTTCTCCCAGAGCGGGGGAAAGTCAATCACCGCCTGACAACGCTCTTCGTCAGGCGAACTCCTGTCCCGCCCAATGTTGTGTCCTAGGAGCTTACCTTTGGAGACACAAACTTCGGCCTTACTGATCCCAAACGAGAACCCAAACAAGATTGACTTATCTAGGAAACCCTCTAAGGAAACGAGGTGGTCGAGGAGGTGCGGGCACGCCTTAGGATGCCGGGCGCGCATATCTGCCGCGAGCTGCTCATAATAATAGTCCGTTGGAGGCTCCTCGATCATCTTATCGATGTCCCAGCTCTCCACGATATGATAGCTCGGGCAGCGCGCCGTGTCGACCGCGTCTGCTGGGCGCACAGCGTCACTTGCGCCTCTTCTAGCCGTGGCCGATCCCTCACGCCAGCCAGCCCAGCGTGGCCCCTTGCGCGTCCTAAAGACCGCGAGGCGTTCGGTGACAGGAACCTCATCGCTGCACGCAACGCTTTCCGCCACACGCAAATCCCTCGTGTCCCAAAGACGCCACGCCTCACCTGCGCGCTGAAGCAAGCACGTTTCGTAAGGCGCCTTCTCGACCGCCACGGTCCCAAGGTCCTTCTGCGCAGGGCGCCTACCCCACACAGACGCGTAACCACCTGGCGCCTCCCACCAGCTGTCGACGCTTGGAAGGTGGTCCAAGCAAGTAAGCACTCCAGGCTCCTCAACAGGGCGCCCAACCGGGCCGCTCCCGCCCCACACCGAAGCGAGAACAGTCACCGCAGCAAGGACCGATAGCACACCGATCCTGGCGCCGGTACGCAGCCGCCCAAAGGACCGCGCACACGAGGAACAACCTTGGAAGCTTCTTGCCGCGGCCCTGGACGCGGACCCGCAAGCAAAGCACGGGTCATGGTCAACCGAAGCAACGGCGACCCCACAATCCGCACATGCCTGCGGAGACGGCTCTGACTCGAACACCGTCTCAATCGCGCCACAACCACAAGCCGCAGTGCAGACGAGGCCGGAACGCACTTCCGCAACAACCTCGCCCGGCTGGAGAGAGTGATCACACTCTTGGGCTGCAAGCAAAACAAACCCTTTACCCTCTCCTGTGGGCCAGAGACCTGGCACAGCCTCAACCCCACACTCAACCGGAAGCACAACCTCGGACAGGGATCCCGCTGTCGAGACTCCTGCCTCCCGCACGACTGGCACCAGCACCCCATCGCCTGGCGAGAGCTCGAGCGGCTCTTCCCCGTCATAGCGGAGAAGCTCCCCCCAGGCTCGGTGCATGACGCGTCGTCCAGGCATGACAACCGCGCTTCAAAGGCATAGGCCCTGTCCTTCCGAGTCCTACTGTGATCCTCACATCTGGGCATCCTGATTCCCAGCGTGTCGAGGACATGAAAGTCGGGACCCGGCCTGAATCCCAAGCCCATCCTTCCGGCGCAGTCCAGCGCTCTGCCGCCGAGGATAAGTCCGTGCCAATCGGACGTACCCCTGGCTGCGATTTTACATCGCACGAAAATTTCGGTGTTGGGGCGACAGTCGTCCGCCGTCCTGCCTTCCAGCAGCGTGACGCGCAAGACTGCTGCCCCCTTCAGAGGAACGGGGGCTCCCGAAGCAATTCCATGCACGTATTCGGGGTGGACCCACTTTTCAAGTCTCACGACCGGGAAGCCGGGATCCTCAGTGCCGATCCCCAGCTCTGCAGCCCGGTTCATCATGCCTACCACGAGTTCCTCGGTCACGTGGTTTGCGCCGGCGCAACCGTCGAGCATGCACTCGACCTTACGGTCGAGGACCTGGACCACCGTCCTGTACTGGTAGCCTCCTGGCTCGTTGTCCGCCAGGTTCCACCAGTCCTTCGGCAGATCGTCCAGGGTGGCGAACTTGTCCCGCCCGCCCTTGCTTAACGGAAGCGCGTGCTGCTGCACCGCGGCGTGTCCTGCGGCTCCTAAGACGCCTGCCTGGACGCCTGAGCTGCCTATCTGGACACTGAACGCGGCGAAGGGGTTAGACATGGAAGCACCGGAGGGCGGGGCCCAGTTGGCAGGCAAGGCCGGCGTCCCTCCTGAGGTCGTCAGGTTGTGGACCATGTCGCAGCTGGCTCCTTTCTTGCACGACCCATTCTTGGAGAAAAAGGGGCAAACAGTGCCTGGTGGCTTTGCCGCGCCTTTGGCCGCAGCCTTAGGCTTTGCGTTGGCTTTTGCCTTGCCACCTCCCTTCCCCTTGCCTTTACCTTTCGCAGTGGCAAAGGTTTGGTCACCCTTCTTGGCCGCGAGAGCTTTTCTGCGAAGCTCCTTGTCGTGGCTGTACGGGCAGGCATCCCCTTTCGGGCAATTCCCATGATCGCGAAAGTGGAAGCAGATCTTCTTGTCCGCTCCTTTGCCAGCTCCCTTCGACGCAGCGGCAAACGTCTGGTCCGCGCCAGCTTTGGCCGCGGCAGCTGCTCCTTTCGCAGCAGCCTTCGCAGCGGCCTTGAGACTCTTAATCTCCTTCTGAGCCTCGGCTAGCGCGACCGCCGGGTCCGCGCTCTGCGAACCGGTCGCCGTGTACGGGCCGCGGAAGGACCACCTGCAACCTCAGCAGTGTGCAAACCTCCACGGTCCAATCCTTCCCCCAACCCACTTGCAGTCGCAGGCTGTGGGAGCCCTGGGGAACGCGGCCCCACGGCTTCAACTGGCACATCGGACGGGGAGCTCCAAACCTTCTCTTGGCTCGAGCTTTCTTTTCCCCCCAACGCGAGGATAAGCTCCCCGATGCATTGGATTTCGCGCTGAATCTCCTCTGCGTCTTCGGGGTCCTCGCCACCGCGCAAAGCCGCGACCGAGAACCTGGTCCGCAGCCGACGGACCATCTTCGTCGGATGCCAGTCCCCGCCTATCTTGGAGAACTCATCCGCAAGGAGGGTGGCTTTGGTGCTTAAGGCGTCAAGGTCACGGGAGCTCACCGTGACTCCATGCGCTTTCAGCGCGAGGACAATCCGCGAAACGCGCGTCAAGTAGTCCGCGACCGGTTCTTGGTCTGGACGGAAAATCGCGCGCAGCTCCGCCTGCAAGCCCTCTGCGGTGCCTGGCACTGAACCTGCTGTCGACGGCGGACCGGACGGTCCCGCCGGGCGGGACCCTGGTGCCGTAGCAGGGACATAGGCAGCACCGGTAGGGACCATGGCCAGCTCCCTAGCCGCGGCGCTGACGTCCACCCGCGGCGGACTGTCGCCTCCAGCGCCCGAGGCCTCAGGGACTAGCTCGGAGTCCTCTTCTTCTTCCTCTTCATCCTCGTCCTCCTCTTCGGCGTCATGGAGGAACTTCATGACTTTCCGCCAGAGAGCCGCCTCTTGCTCTGGCGTAGTGCTGACCCCATCCCGCTTGGACAATGGACGGCTGCCAGTCTCCCTACGCCACTTAAGCCAAGCGACGTAGCTCATCCGCTCGGGATAGGGAACGTCTCCACCCTCGATAGCTTCGAGGAGGGTGACGCCCTCAGCCTGACCTGCAACCTCTGCGGACATTGCCGCAACACAAGGCGAAAAGCCGCGCCTTGGTTAGCAGGCCGCAGGCGTGGCACGCGAAGCGCCGCGCCTTGGTTAACAGGCCGCAAGCGTGGCACACAGTCCACGCGTCCAGGTCACGGACCGCGACAGACAAGCAAAGCAATGCTTGCCCACTCGGGCCGTAGGCACAAGAGCTGTACGTTTCCCAGAACAGCCCCCAATTGTGAAGTCGACCAGCACTGGACTTGCACTAAGCCAATGCAATCACAGCCCGGTCACGCTGTTTTACGACTTCGTGAGTCCAAGCACTTGTGCAGCTACGCCTGAGTGCGTCCGGTCGGACCGCACAGCAACCTAGGAGCTACTGTACGACTCTACCGTGCTCAAAGGCACAAGCTCGGTACTTGAGCCAAAATATTGGCATTGTTACGAATTGCAAAACTACACATGCAAGGGAAAACAACAAGCTGCACTAGCACTAAGCAAGCACTCCATGCATGCTTTGACCTGCTCACAAGACATACACATGTATATATATATATATATATACGTATACATGTATGTATGTGTATATACATGCACATGTACATTGTACGATTAACAACATACTACCATATATATATATATATATATATAGATATGTATAGATATGTATATATATATATGTGTGTATATATATGTATTGTACATTACTTGTTGTTACTTTATTCAGTTTTTATCTTCTTACATTATAATATACATATATATATATATGTATACACATACATACATACATACATACAGACAGACATACATACACACATACATGCACACATACATATGTATCATGTTTTTGTTGATTCCATGTGCTGTGGGGACATGTTCGTGGAAGCCGTGAGTGGCCCAAGGCTCTGCCCCTTGAGACTTTGCTTCTCCTGCCACTTAAGCAGGCAGGGTTTAGGGTTTAGGGTTTAGGGTTTAGGGTTTAGGGTTTAGGGTTTAGGGTTTAGGGTTTAGGGTTTAGGGTTTAGGGTTTAGGGTTTAGGGTTTAGGGTACAGGCTTAGCCCCTGCTTGAGCCATGCCGTGTCGCGTGGACATCGCAAGAACCTGGGGCTGGATCCAGGACCCGTACACGCACCCAGCAGCTCACATCGCCAGCTGCGTCTCTTTTTGCGTTGCTGGCGCTGCAATGTGGGGGTTGGCATTCTTGGTTCGGAAAGGCTGCCTACAGCGTTCCCGCAACATCCAGAAGGCTTTGGTTGCAGCTTATCTTGTTCGCGGCGTGGGCTATGTCGTGGAGGGGATTGCGCGCATCGTCTTCAACGAGAGGGATGGGCTGGGCCTTGCCCTCAGCGCCCGCACAGTTGTTGTGCTGTCTTTGTACGTTTCTTTGTCATAGTTGGGTACCATTTGACATTTTTAAGGGTACTTAAACCCAATAAGGAATAAACACCTAAAAGTTATAAGGAATCAAAACCTAAACTTTTAGTAATTGTCCCAACAATGAGCTAGGTTTGGGTCGTGCTGTCGAATGGCTTGGGCGAGGCGGTCTTTCCAAACCGGCGGATGCTTTGGCTGACAGCTTGGGTCAGCACATCCGCCTTCTTGCCGGTGACTTTACTGTTGGTTAGTAGGGAAGGAATGAGGTACCCTACAACGGTTTAGGGTTTAGGGTTTAGGGTTTATGTTTAGGGTTTGAAGGGGTTAACTATATAGTGCACCTCATTCCACAAAATTTTCCCTGCTAGCCAAGAGTATAAGGTGACTCTGACGTTGCTCTTCCTCTTCTCAGAGGAGAGTGCGGTCGTAGCCATGTGTGCCGCAGCCTTCGCTGACTTCTACTGGGCTGCCATGTGGTTTCTCGTGATGACCTTCGGGATCGAGAGAAACCATCTCTGGTGCCGTTTTGCTGCGCTGATCTACAGCAAGGTGGGGGGTTTCCGACATTCGGGCACTAGGGGTTTAGGGTTTTAGGGTTTTAGGGTTCTAGGGTTTGAGGGTTTTAGGGTTTTAGGGTTTTAGGGCTTTAGGGCTTTAGGGCTTTAGGGCTTTAGGGTTTAGGGTACCTTATTTGGGTCCCTGATTTTCAGGGGAACCTATTATTTGGGAATCCATATGGGGGTCCCCGATTTTCGTAAACCCTCCCCAACCCCTAAACCCCAAATCCTAAGCCCTAAACCCTAGACCCTAGACCCTAAACCCTAAACCCCCCCCCCCCCTTCGTAAACCCCAGGTCATTGCGCTTCTCATTGCGGTGGCAGGAGCTATTGTCATAGCTCTGACGGAGAGCGCCTGCGGACCACGAGGGCACGGTGACTGCTATGAGAAGTGTCTAGGCCTTGCGACATGCCACGTTTTCCCCTTTTTTGGGTTCCGGGTTTATAGGGTTTAGGGTTTAAGGATCTTTTCCCTTGTTGGGGGGTGAAGAGGATCATCTTCAGGAAGACTGTCCAGAGGGTTTATGAAGGGGCCCTCCCGAGGTGCCGTTTCAACGGCGGCGGCTGGCACGACTTCCTCGGCCTCTTCTTTGGCTTCTTCGGGCATCTCTTTGCTTTTGTCTTCTGGGTGCTGGATGCTGTGCCGGTTGATGTCCAGTGGCCTCCGTCCACGTGGGAATATGTCTCCGGAGAAAAACGCGGCCGCGGCGGCGAAGTGTGTGACGGCCAAGTGGCTCCTTCAAGGCTGCCCCCGGCCGTGCCTGAGAATTGAGATTGCGACGTCAACGACCTCTTTTTTCGCATTTAATCCATTTAATCCTTGGGACCCGAAGCCAGAAACATGCTTTTGGAAGACCTGAGGAAGTAATGCATAAGACTGGACTGAGATCGTCTACGCCTTTAGGGCGTAAGGGCGTGGAGTCAAACGAGAGAGATGCGCATATTGCACACATACACACTGTATGTACACCCTAAATACCCCTAAACCCTTATCCCTAAGGGCTTAGGCTTAGGGTTGCCAGCCTCTAAACATGCGGCCCCGGATTGCCCCCTAATTAGCAAAACCGAATGAAGTCACGAGCCTTTAGAGGGGTTAAGGTTTCCCTGACAGTGCTCTTAATGGCGAAGATCGTCTTGGACTCTGTCTTCTACAAATCTGGTGCTTCGCGCGGCATCGGACTGTGTATGCTAAAGGAAAAGAACAGGAAGGGTTCAGGTTTCGGGTTCGGGGTTTAGTGTTGTAGGGCTTTAGGGTTTAGGGTTGTGGTTGGCCTCTACCTACTGCAGCCATCCAAGGAAAGGTTTAGGGTTTCGGGTTTAGGGTTTCGGGTTTGGGGTTTAGGGTTTGGGGTTTAGGGTTTAGGGTTTGGGGTTTGGGGTTTAGGGTTTGGGGTTTAGGGTTTGGGGTTTAGGGTTTGGGATTTAGGGTTTGGGGTTTAGGGTTTAGGCTTTGGGGTTTAGGGTTTGGGGTTTAGGGTTTAGGGTTTTGGGTTTTGGGTTTGGGGTTTAGGGTTTGGGGTTTAGGCTTGGGGCCCAAGGTCTGCCAGGCGTTGGCACATGGCCCGGTTCACTTGGTCACGCTGGCCTCTGGCAACTCGCCTCGCAGATGGGGGATGGCGCTTTTCCTTTTTTTTTTTTGTGTGTGTGTGTGTGTTTAGGGTTTAGGGTTTAGGGTTTGGGGTTTAGGGTTTAGGGTTTGGGGTTTAGGGTTCAGGGTTTGGGGTTTACGGGTACCTAAGAGTTGGTGGTGCCCAACAAACGGGAACCACAACTCAACCCTCATTTCAATAATTCAAGCGTTTAGGGTTAAGGCTTTAGGGCCCAACCCCACACCCCTGAACCCCTGAAAACCTAAAAACCCTAAAGCCTAAACCCGAAACCCCCAACCCTAAACCCTAAACCCTAAACCCTAAACCCTAAACCCTAAACCCTAATCCCCCCCTCCCCCTCTTTGAGCGCAGGCTTGGGCTTCGCCAAGCGCTACAACAGGCTGCCCCTTGCCTGGCCGCTTTATGGCTCCAGGGCTTCGCGGGTTTCAGGGTTTAGGGTTTAGGGTTTAGGGCTAGGGTTTAGGGCTAGGGTTTAGGGTTTAGGGTTTTGGGGAACCCCCCCTAGACCCTTAGCCCTGTCTCCACCCTAAAGTTGAATGGCTGCTTGATGGAAGGCAAACTTCATGCCTGGAGGATTCGCGCTCCTAAGGCTCCCATAAGCCCAACCCAAATGACGATCCTAAACCTCCCAACCCCAAAACCCTACTTAGAGGTTCATGGTACTTAGTAACTCATTATAGCTATACTTGTAACCCACTTATAAGCCCCTTAAGTGCCCTAATGTGGTTATAAGTACAGTTATAAGTACAGTTATAATTAGCTACTAAGTACCATGCACCTCCAAGTAGACCCTACAACCCAAAACCCCAAACCCCAAACCCTAAACCCCAAACCCCAAACCCTAAATCCCCAAAGAGCATAAGGGCGGCTTGGTAACGTCGGCTTCTGGCGCCAAGGTTCCACGAGGGCCGGCGGGTGAACAACGGCTCCTGGACGGCCTTTCTGCGGAGCATTCCAGGCGTTGAGGCCTGCTGAGGGTGCTTAGGGTTTAGGGTTTAGGGTGTAGGGTTTAGGGTTCAGGGTGGGCGTTGAGGCTAGCTGCGTGGCTTTAACCCCCTGGTTCTTCGTAGGGAATGGGGGGGGGGGGGGGGGGGGAGGGGAATTTAGGGGCCTTATACAGAAATCCCTTAAAGGGTATATGTAATGGGGGGGATATACTAATTGAGTACTTTATAATACTTTTGTGGCTCTGGGTTCCCATTATAGCTACTTAGTACCTGAGAAGTATGTACTTGTTTTTTTTTTCAGGGTCTCCTCCAAAGAATCGTACAGGATACCTCATTCCCTCATTTCCTACGAAGAACCACGAAGCTAAGCTTCATAGGGCTGAGCAGAGTCGATTTGCTCCGCAGACGTTCCCGGGGCTCCATCACGTTTTAGGGTTCAGGGTTTAGGGTCTAGGGTCTAGGGTCTAGGGTTTAGGGTTTAGGGTTTAGGGTTTAGGGTTTAGGGTTTAGGGAAGTCATTTAGGGCTTTGGGGCTGTTTCTGACCTGGGGGTTTCAGGTTTAGAAGCCCTAAACCCGAAACCCCTAGACCCCAAGCCCTAAAACCAGGGTGGGGAGGGGGGTATTATAACCTAAACCCCAAACCCTAAGCCATGCAGGAGGGGGGAGTATAGGATTGACTCTAAGCCTCTTCTTGAAGCCCGAGCAACCCTAAACCCTAAACCCTACACCCTAAACCCTAAACCCTAAACCCTTTTCCAAAGCTTAAAACCCCCAAGCGCCAAGCCAGCACAGGTGGAAGAGAGCGCCAGTGGCGGCCCCCCGGCTACCATCTGAAGGTTTAGGGTTTAGGGTTTAGGGTTTAGGGTTTAGGGTTTAGGGTTTAGGGTTTAGGGTTTAGGGTTTAGGGCTCAGGGTTCAGGGTTTGGGGAGTTTGGGGTTTCGGGTTCAGGGTTTTGTTTTAGGCTTAGGCGCAAGCCTGGAGTCCTTCATCCCTAGAACGTCTTGGGGGAGTATACCCCGTATATACTACACTCTGAACCCTAGCCCTAAACCCTAAACCCTAAACCCTAAACCCTTATGAACTCAAGTACCTTGAAAAACACGCATAGAGGCATTGCATCAAGGTGGTTCCGGAGGAGGATTTGTGCGTGCTTGGGCATCAGAGCCTACTTGGAGGTTCATGGTACTTATTCACCAATGATATCTGCACTTAGAACCCAACGTAGTGTTCAGGGTTTAGGGTTTAGGGTTTAGGGTTTAGGGTTTAGGGTTTAGGGTGCAGGGTTTAGGGCTGGGGTCAGGGTTTCTGGTTCAGGGTTGCAGGGTTTAGGGTTGAGGTTTCAAACCCGAAACGCTAACCCTAAACCCTAAACCCTACACCCTAAACCCTAAACCCTAAACCCTAAACCCTAAACCCTAAACCCTAAACCCTAAACCCTAAACCCTAAAGGGTTATCTAACCTCCCAAGCGGTCCAGGCTACAAGCCTGACTCCAATGTCTGGCTGACGAGGCACCCTGACAGAAGAGCAGCCCTAAACCCCAAACCCCAAACCCTTAACCCTAAACCCGAAACCCTAAACCCTAAACCCTAAACCCTAAGCCCTAAACCCTAAACCCTAAACCATTTCGAGATTTGCCTCTCCCTTCCCGAGCCACTAGAAGCAGAACCGTCAACCCTAAACCCGCGAAACCCCACGCGCCCAAACCCGGAAGCCTGCAGTTTAGGGTTCAGTTGGTGTTTAGGGTTTAGGATTTAGGGTTTAGGGTTTAGGGTTTAGGGTTTCCTAAGTCACACGCCAGCTTCGTAGCTTCTGCTTTCGCCCCAGACCCTAAACCCTAAGGGCTTAGGATACTGAATTGTCTACGGGTAGCTACGTGGTCCCTCGACATGGGGCCTTTAAACTTACTGGCTCAAAACCCAACTTTTCAACGCGTGGGCTTCTTATAAGGCAGTTTATTCTGAAAGTTTCAACTTTTATTTCCGTGGGTTTTTGGGCCAGTAGGTAAAAGGGGACCCCTATGTACACACTTTTTAGGCTCTGGTACAACGCAAGGGTCCATGCATCAGAGCCCTTTAAAGGAGGCCAGGGACCCGGGTTTAGGGTCTAGGGTTTAAGGTTTAGGGTTTAGGGTTACCCCCTGAACCCTAATCCCTACACCGGCCCATGAAACTACCTCCAGATTCGACCTCCCGCTCCCCTTGCTATAACACGTTTGCGTACTTTCATTCGCACCTGAATGAAGGAAGATACCCTACTTCACAACAATGATCCTTAGTATAACATTCCTTATTTAAGGGTTACCCTAAGGAAGATACCCTAAATCATGATAGTGATCCTTAGTATAACATTCCTTATTTAAGGGTTTGTGGAAGATCTGGGTTCGCCCCTTATACTATCAGTCCTCAGTAGACTAGGGGGTTTAGGGTCTAGGGCTGAGGGTTTAGGGGTACCTATAGTCCATATTAAGGACTGTTAGTTAGGGGGGACATGCCAAGATTAGCTTCTGCTTCAGGGTCTATTGTTTTGGGTGAACCCCAAACCTCCCCTGCCAAAATCGGAGAAGTTCGACGAAGTAGCAGACGTAAATTCTTCGTGCTTGTATCCGCCCGCATATAAACACCCTAAACCTTGAACCCAAACAACCCTAAACCCAAACCCTAAACCCTAAACCCAAACCCCAATTCTAAACCCTTCAAGGGATTACATGGGGAACTTAAACCCTAAACCCTAAACGCTAAACCCTAAACCCGAACCCTAAACCCTAAACCCTAAACCTAAACCCTACGCCACTAAACCCTGAACCGCCCTAATTCCCGAATTCATCCCAAAGAGAACCGTTAATTCCCTGAGCCAGTAGCTATACTGGAGCCTGTCACATGGGCATCTGGCCCCATAGAAGGGGTTTAGGGTTTAGGGTTCAGGGTTTAGGGTTTAGGGTTTAGGGTTTGGGAAGCTTGGGGTTTAGGAAGGTTAGGGTTCAGGGGAAAACGGAAAAATCTTCAAGCCTTGACACGAAACCTCTGCCACTCGCAGCCCCGCAGCATGCCCTCATAGCTCCTATACAATCGGAGCCCTCAACCCCCACAAACCCAAAACCCCAAAGTATCGCTTCTGCGCCCTAAACCCCAAACCCTAATTCCAAGAACTCTATAAATATCCTAAACCCAAACCCTAAACCCAAACCCTTAAAATGACCCCCCCCCCCCCAAAA